ATATAAGTAGGTGAAAATATTAATAAACGGTTTAGATTATGAGATAAGTAGGTGAGCCAGAATTGGGGTTTTCATACTACTAATGTATCATTTTCGATGTGGGCTCAAGATATTGTAAGTATTTATCAAATAATTACCATATTATATTATTTATTATAACTAATAGAATTTTTTTATAGTTCAAAAATAATACAGATTTCAAAACACCTCCTAATCATGCAATTTTTAGCATGTTACATTCTGTTAAACCTACTTCTTATAACTCTAATTAGAGGTAGGCTCCGAATCTGGTCAATCCGGTCATCCTAGGTAAGGTTGCTTGTCTAAACCTCTTCAAAATCCTACGATTAGTTTCGTCAAAATTTTACTATAGATTTATTATAGTTTCGGCAGAGTTTCGGCAGTTTCAGCATTTATAATAAGTTTTGGCAGTTTCGCCTTTTTCCAAAATTTCGCCAGTTTTTTAATATAACTTTAATATAATTTCAGCAGAATTTCGCTTTTCGGCGAAATGCCATCTTGCCTAAACTCTTAGGTTTCGACAAGCAACCTTAATCCTAGGATCAATCCGTCTAATAAGTGGATTCGGATTGATCAGATGAATCCGTCAAATAGACCAGATGAATGACCGGATATCCGATCAATCCTATATGGGATTGACAAAAAAATTTCCTTTTTAAGAGGTCGTCTAAAGCGGGGGCAAATCACGTGATACGATTTTGGGATTAGTCAGGAATGTCGGTTTAATTTGTGTTACCATTACAACATCATGTATTTATTTATTTTTTTTTTAAAAAAACATTTTTTCAAATTTTTTCACTAGCCATGTCCGTCCCTTCTTCACAATCAACTGTCCTTCCAGCTTCTTCTCCTCTAATAATAACGTCAGCATCAAACCTTACATCAGACGAAAAGCAGAATCTTCTTTTTGATGTAGACCGTGCTTTAGAAATTCCAATGGAGGTTTTAACGAAGAGTGGTGGCCGTTAGTTTTGAATATTTGGACGAAATGAGACTCGTATAAATATGTAAATAGTAATATTCGGAAAACCTTCGCCTGTCATTTTATAAAGCACCACGAGTCAAGTACCCGACAAAAAGAAAATGTCCCAAATGAAAAACGCTGAATAACTAGAATACGGCCATCTAACATATGTTCTGCGATGATTAAAGTTTTTTGGATAGCTTCTTCAAATGTAGTTCAAGTAGAAAGACATAAAAATTCCCCCAACCACACTCATTCTTTATCAGAAATCGATAGATTAAAACGGCCAAAAGCTATTAGAAGCTTAGTTGAAATAGAAGCGGTTAAAAATTATTCAGCTCCAACAATCACATCTGCCGTTAAGGAATACGCAACGTTGGAGTTAGGTCTTAGTGAACCTGCGCGCGAGCTGAAGCGCAAAGAAGTAGCGAACATCAAATATAAAGTTCGCGGGCCTGCAGAAACTTATCTTATTGGAAATCCAAACTTAAAATTGGATATTTCGGATTCTATTTCTTATTTAACGGAGCAGGGATATCATATCGAAAAGTACTGCATCTCTCAACGGTCTATCAGAGGTATTGTGTTTGCGCATCCAGAGTAATTAAAGAAGCTTGAGCGTCATGGATGGTTGACGCTTATAGATTCAACACATAAAACAAACCGGTACGATTGGCGTCTATTTATTCTTTACGTCCGTATTACTTATGGATGTTGGAACGTAGACGCCCATTTTTTCGTAAGCAGTGAGGATGCAGATACAGTTGCAGAAGCTTTAATAATAATCCGCAATAAGTATTGTCATTGGTCCCCCCCCCCCGTTACATACTTTCAGATCATAGTAATATCGAAGCCAAGAGCATTAAAAAGACATTTCCTGGCATGGCCGCTGGTGAACAAGAGTGCTAAGTCCTCCTTTGCGTTGTTCATGTTATGAGAACGTGGATGCAAAAAATTCATGAAAAAAAAACCCGAGATATCATGATCGTGGCGATGCATAAAAGAACAAAGATTGGATGCGAAAGTCTTGTTCAAGATACTATTAATTCTTGTCCCGTTCCTTCTATACAAAGTTATATTAAAAGAAACTATACAAAAAATACTGAAAAATGAGGCTTATGGGCTCGGCAACATTTTCCTCTACTTTTACAAGTCACTTCAACGAATTCGCTAGAATTTTTTCATAGTGAATTAAAGAAAACAACATCTTCATCACATGGATTGATCGGTACATGCTGATTTTTATTTGGCTATTTTGCCCGCATGTCCAACTCAAAACTTTTATATTTTAGGTGCCGCTCACAAAGTTGTCAATGTTGAAAGTGCATCTTTTGATTTTCGTATCAAGAAAATATCCGCGTATGGTGTTGATGTTGATATTCTTGAAGAAATCCAAAAGTTCCCATTTCCATTTCAACAATTAATCATTAGAGAAGCCTGTGCTGTGATGAATAGACTTGAAAAAGAAAAAAGTACGCCAGGTCTTACTTCTCTCGATTGTTTCTGCTTGTTTTGCCATCGATATTTATTGCCCTACAAGCATATTTTTCATGAACACATGTACGGCAATAAATTGTTGACTACCAACGTATGGCAAATGTTTTGCAAAATTTTTGAAGAAAGTGGGTTTAAAGTATATGAAAGTCGAGAATCATTTATAGAATATGTTTAGACAGAGTAACAGAAAAACGCCGAGAATTGAAGAATTGCTGTGGGAGAATTAACCGAAAGAATGCGCGATAGGTATTAGCGTGTTGAAGAGATGGGTGATGTTAAGAAGACGCAATCTTTTATTTCTATGTTAGAAGTCTCTGTGAATCTGATTATTTTGCAATTTGATAATAATTCAAGCAGAAAAACTTAGAATTATTTATTAGTATTTTGATACTAATAAATGTACAAAGTTGTATTGGGTTCCGATTATTGTGCGGGCTTGATTTCTTAAATTATTACGAATTTTTTTTTTATGTAGAAAAATTTTACGAATTTTTTTTTATGTAGATAAAACTATGAATTTTTTTTTACGAATTTTTATTAGAAATTTTTACAAATTTTTTATAAGAAAAATTACATTTTAAATTCAAATAAAACAATAAAATCAATAAATAGGGTGGAACTTTTTTATTTTAATTAATTCTTTTAAAAATTTTTAATTTTTTTATTAATGATTTATTGATATATTGATATTTTTAAGAAATTTTGCTTCGCTGGAACACTTTTTTTTAGCCAATTATCGTTTGGTATTCTAACGAAAAATCACGTGACACTTCCAGTTAATCGCGATCATGTCACGTGATTTGCCCGCTTTAGACGACCTCCTTTTTAGGAAATTTTATGTTATACGACCGGAAACTAAATTTAGAAAAACTGGTTTTTTGTAAAACGGGTATCACCATAAATGGAAATGATCGATATACCCGTGCGTTACGTGATAACAATTAAATACCTAATCATAAATTCCAGCTGAAATTAAATGATCGGCTAAAAATTTCCTTTTTAGGATTCTTGTGAAATCCAAAATTTCATTTTTGCTGGGAAATAAAATTTCCTTTTTTGGATTTGTGTAACGTTACTCATACCATAAAAAGGATAATTCCATGCCGATTACTTAATTCCGGCTGGAATTATAATCAATCTGGTCAATCCGCGGATAATCCGATAATCCGATTTTTTTAATCCGGATTGATCTGTCACGTGATCATCTGGATGACGGATTGACCAGATTCATCTGGAGCGCACCTTTAACTCTAATAACAAAAATTCTTTAATAATCCCTAATGTAATTCAAAACTTTATAATAGAAGTTCCTTTTATGAAGAAATTTTTGAAAGAGTTGGATAGAAAATATGGTGCAAATAAATTTACATGTTATTTGCAAAAATTTGAGGAGGAGGAAATTCGGGTTAACCAATTATTTAGATTATCTGATGCAGAGTATAATTTAATAGGTATATCAAAAATTGGTATTAGACAAACATTACGTGATGAGTCAAAGAAATTTGAATAGATTTACACTATATTACTTTGTAATTGTTATAAATTTAATAAATAATCATTTGAAATTTTGATAAAATAAATTTTCTGCATGTGATTATCAATTTCTTTGTACGTTTATCATGCATTGTATAAAAAAACTATTACATATAAATTGATTGTTGAAAATATTGTTTCGCCATATTGGGAGTAGTTTGAGATAATACCACGAAAAGTATATAAATAGGGTCATCACAATTATTAACAATATCTCTATATTTGTCTTTTTAGCCAACTTTTTAATGCTGAAAATGAAGTTTCTATTGGATTTAAATTGGGTGAATATGGTGGTAAATAAAGTATCCTACACCCAAATTCTTCAACTGATTTTACCAAATCTTCATCATAATGAATACGAGCATTATCTATAATAAGTACACTATTTTTACTGGAATATGGATTCATCTGTGGTAACTAAAAAATAAATAAATAAATAATTTTTTTTTTATGTTAACAAAGATACAATAAATATTTTTATAAATAAATAATTACCACTTGTGTTATTATGAAGGTTCGAAATCTATCTTTATCACAACTACCTTCCATTATATCAGCCGCAATAAATCCATCAACTGTCAATGCAGGTAATATTGTGTAGAGCTTGCCCCTTATAAATAATACCTTTTTTTTTGCTCTACAATTTTTATAAGAATAACCATATAAACGTGAAATGCTTCTTTAATAATTAGACGTCTCATCAATAAAAATAAGTTGTTCTGCATTATATTCTATCCCTATTTGATACATAAAAAAACCACGTAATGTTTCATTCTGTTCATGTGCTACTTTTTGCAACTTAATATAAATAAATTATAAATTAATAAATAATAATATAAAACTTAATTTCGTAATACATACTTTCTTTCTAATAATACCACAATGTTGAAAAGAGCGGCATAATATTGGTATTGAAACCAACTTTCCAGTTTTTATTTCCATTTCATAAATTAATTCATCTAAATAATAATCAACTTTTTTCTGAACAATATCTTGCAGTATCTATAAAATAATTTTAAATTAAAATTTTTAATACGAAGTACAGTATTTGTATTTGTTAATAGTAGTTGATTTACCTGCATATCCTCTGATGTAAATATTTTCCTTTTTCCTAACTTTCTGGTGAATGAATCATTAACACATTCCCATTTATCAAAAATTTTACAAATATTAGTAATCGTTATTTTACTGACATATAACCTCTTAGCAATTTCTTTTGATTTATAACTTTCTTCATAATAATAGATAATACGCCATTTTAAATCTTCACTCAACATTTTACTGTAATATATTGTAAAATATATAATTAGATATAAATTTTATAATAATAAATTTTATAAAAGACTATTTTGAAACCTTTATTATGTAAAAATCTAAGAAAAAAGTAAAGATCACGAAAAAACACTTTTTTTAGATTGTAAAATCGCTAAGTTTTCTGACAAATATGCTTACAATACCTTTGAAACTTCTATGCAAGTAAATTTCAAGTATATTTATTTGAAATAGAAAATAAAATCGCAGTGTTGAATAGTAAATTACAATAGTTGTTTTTGACATGAAAATAAAATATCACAAAAATCAGCTTTTTTGGTAATACAAGTCCCGTGATGCTGATCACATTTTTCTGAAAATGGCGATAATTGCAAAAAAATCACTGCTAATATGTTATATTACATAGAATTTTTACTTTGGTGCGTAATGTAAAATTAAATTTGCATATATCTTTTTATTACATTAATTATCCCTTAAACGGTAAAACATTGCAGGCAAATTTGCCTGCAATTTTACCGAAAATTCAGTTCTCATCTAATTTTATGAAAAATGAAGTTATTCTAATAAAATTTTTTTTCGCAAAGAGCTTAAATCATAATTTATGTGACAATAATCATTATTTATTAATTACATATTATAAGATTGAAGATTGACCATTGGTCAAAAGTTATATTTTTTAAATGACAAAAAATTTCGAAAAATTTTGCATTTAACTTTGACGATCTCATTGGGATTTGATTGCAGCTATATTAAAGCTTAATTGAATATGTAGAAATTTCTATGATGAACAACTTTTGTTATGATGATTTTTAATGTTTAGAAGTGGCATTTTGACTTTACATAGAACCCTAAAAAAAGAATTATTTTTGTGAACTTGTAAAAAATGCATAAAGTTAAATTTTATCATCTCTATTTTGTTCATTAGAGTGTGAAGTTTCATAATAAAAATAAAAAAATATATTAAAATGCTTTGTAATGAAGCAGAATATTATGGTAAAGAAAATTAATTTATTATATAAAAATTCCGATGTTATTTTTTTGAGGTTAATTTGTGACTAATTTTGGTGATTAGCAGTCATTAACCACATATCAAAACCATACAATTGATGCTAAAAATGTAGATCAATATAGCTGCGGAATTATAGGATAATCCAAATCATATTGACAAACTTTATATTTGGATATAAATTTATTTTGAAAAATTGCAGGCAAATTTGCCGGCAAAACCGTTTAAGGGATAAGAGAAATAAGATAATTAAAGCAAACATTATAAATGACTATATAAAATACATCCGCATTAATGTTTATTTATTCTTTTTCTTTTTTTTTCTTTTTTCACCACCTTTTTTTAATGCTTCCTTTACTTTTTTTAATGGTTCTAGTGACTCTTCAGAAACAACAATTGCAGTTTTTTTACCCTCCTTGTAACAATTAATAGCTTTATCTTCAACTTCTTTCACTGAAATCAAATGATGAGTATCTTCTTCGACATAGTAAAGTTTTTCCTGACGAAAGATAAAATTGTTCATAGCTTCTTTCAAATTACATCCTGCACATATCATAATTTCATCATTACGAAACCATACATAAATAACATCGTTGAGATCTTTTAACCAGAAGATTGCTTCATCATATGCAAGTATAGGGCGAGCATCAATAACATTATAAATTTTAACAAACATATTAATTTCATCATCGTATAAATTTTCTTTGTTTGTTTCTTTATGAAATGGATACTTATTTTTCAATAAGTTACGAAGCGAGAGCAGATTCTTGTTGTATTGTGTTTCATTGTCTCCTGACAATTCAGGCATGGTTCCTTTACTTCTTGTTTTTTTGTTGATATTGTTCGAGTTCTCAGCCACGCGTTCACTTTGGTGCAGTTGCCATAACCCCATGGTGCCATCTTCTCCAATAAATTTCCATTCGCGTCTCATGGCAAAATGTGCAGGTTCTTTTTGTCGAACTCCTGTTGTATCTGCAATAACTCTGCTTTGATTTCTGGGGTACCAATCAATGATGCCCCAAATGAGACTTTCTTCACTCTTTGGCAGTGTTTCTGATGTACCGATTTGAAAGAAATTGTTAAAGCTGTAAAAAGATCCTGAAAATGACGATCTTCTCCCTCTTGGAGTACTATCCAATTTGCCAGTTGGCTTAAATGTTTGAATAGATAATTTATTTGTCGTTCGAGAGTCATTAAGGTTCTCAGAACTGGACCAAAGTTTATTGAATAAAAAATAACTAGGGCGTCTGACACCGTGTTGACTGAAATCTCCACACCATTTACTCTCATAATTATCCATTGCGGTTCCTTGTTCAGATGTTTTAGATATAGCTGTTTTTCCTTTCTGGAATATTATGCAAAATTTTAGCTAACATTTGTAGAAAAAAAAAATACAGTATACTGTAAATACTGGTATGGCTTTAGAAAATTTTTGTACAAAAACCTTGATACATTGCTCCTCTTCAACAAGATTTTTATGTAATTCCATAGCTAGAAAATAATCAATTTAGCTTTGTAACAGGATTTCAATAGTATTTCAACTGAAAAAAAACTTTACCTCATCTGATGAATTAAATGTTTCCAATTGTATGTGTGGCTGTTGCATTTTTTTTAAAAAGGAATGAAATATTTGTGCAATGCAATGTGTACAATAAGGAATATATAGTAGCTATTACATCATTCGATCCAGTACTTTTCCAAATTAGTAATAAACAGTTATACAATTTTTAGTCATTATTACAATTCCGTATATTTGTTGGTCTGAAATCTGTGCCAGGTTATGCCAAATATATTAGCTTTAGAGTAAGGAGTGATGTTTAGCGTCATTTAGCTTCACATGATCATGTGCAAGTCTGAGTTCCAAAAACACTATTTATCTGAGAGGCAGTTTTTTTGTGGTTCAAAACTTATTTGTCACCTGTTATTTATCACTGAACTCAGCGTAATTTGGCACAGATTTCAGATGTGCTTAGGAATGTTAACGGTTCAGTTTATCCAGTTTTCGGTCAGTTTGAGTACAAAACTGAACTTCTATAGGTTTAAAACCAGAGTTTGAACCAAAATTTGGACTGAAGTTTAGACCAGATATTTATAGTATTTTATACAAAATTATGTGTAATGCAGATCATAAATTTAAACATATCGTATATTGTCAAAAAATTTTTTATTATAAAAAAAAAATATTTCACATAATGTAAAAAAAAAGGAAAAAAAAAGACATATTGCAAGTATTGATTCAATTTCCATTCTTTCTTTTTCTAATATCCAATTTTTCATGCATATAATTGCCCTTGCCATACGTTTTAGGATCTAACCTATTTCTAGTTTTTGAAATAGTTAATCCTGAAATTGAAAATGCCTTTCTGATCGAACTAAATTTGCTTGAATTGTTAAATAATCCTTAGTTATTTGAGATAGTACTGGTAATCCTTTTTATAAGTTTTCTACCAAATTAAAGAACTTGTATTACTATCTACTGGAAAATTTAAGTATCGATCTTTGACGAATATTATTTAGATTAAGTAAATTAAGAAAATAATCACGAGATGATTGTACCGGTGCTGATGGTATGGTTTGATTATTTAAGGGTAAATATGACAAATATAATTCTTGTAATTTACTAATAATTTCAGTTATATCATTATGACTAAATAATGTGGTTTTGTAGTATGGATCTAATATTGAAGAAGTAATGGAAGATTGATTCAAATATTTGTTCCAATAAGCTTTCAATTTATTATAAATTGCTGATGCTATTGCCCTTTGTGTATAATGATTTCCTCTTTGATAATGATCCAATTTTTTAAACATTCCATTAAAAACCAATCTTATATTATTACCTTGTGTAGGATTTTTTGATGATGATAGTAAATTGGTTGCTTCATACATAGGTTTTAATACCTTTACTAATTCCTGTAAAAATAAAAAATAATAATTAATAAATATATAATTATAAAATAAAATAAATAATAATTTATAAAATAAAAAATACTTTAATATGTTGCCATTCAGATATTGTTGGAAATAAATCTCCAAGTTCTTCAACATTTGTTGTTGCAAGTAATTCTGAAACACCCTGCATTAAAATTTGTCTATTAATCATAAAATATGTGGAATTCCAGTGAATGTCTATATCTAAAATTGGTTTAAGAAATTTAACCTTTTTAAGGGTACAAATTTCTGATAATTTATCTAAAAATAATGATGAATTCTTGATTTTAATAACAAATTGACAAAGTTTTTTGATTTTATTTCCAACATGATTCATTCCTGTGTAATGAGTAAAAGTCATATTATTAAACTCCTGATCTAATTCAGTTGCTGGTTGATTATCACATGCTATCATATTGCTTCCATTATCTGTAGTTAATGCAAGAATATTATTACTGATACTAAACTTTTCAAGAATTTGTAAAAGCTTGCTAGTAATTAACCCAGCTATATGAGAACCATTTATAGGAATTAAATCAAGTAAAAGATTTTTTAATTTCCAATTGTTATTAATATAATGCATTATTACTTCAAGATAACAATTTTTTGAGACTTCTGAAGTCCAAATATCAGTAGTAAGAGATATTTTTAAGTTAATTTGTGAGACTTCAATAATTAACACATTTTTTCTCATTTTATAATTTTCTATGAATTTTTCCTTTAAGGTTTGTCTGCAAGGTAAAATATAGTGGGAATTCAATTTATTAATTAATAATTTGAATTCAGGATTTCAATAATAGTAAAAGGTTGCAAATCAATTGCAACAAAATCAACCAAAAAATCTGTAATAGGTTTAGATTTTGATGGAGAATAAGGTTTAAAACGTAAAGTAGTTTAGCAGGTTTTAGATTTTTTATAATATGATAGATATTTTTTAGTTAAATGACGTTGAAGTGTAGATGTTGAATTACCAGATGAATAAAGTTTTGCACACAAAATACATTTATAGTTTGTAATTAACCAACTTTCCTCATTTTGAATTTTTTGAAAAAACTCCCAAACATCTGCTGACAATTTTTTATTTATAATTCTTTCATCATCAGATGTTAAGTAATCATCTGATAAATTATTATCATCATTTTCTGACATAGTTATAATAATGCAAGGTGATATAAAAAAAATGTAAGAATGTAAAATTTGTTATTCTTTTATTGTAAAAAGTTATGTGCAGATATATATAACCATTAATTGAACTGATCTAAAATCAGTTCACTAAACCAGTTTCTATCAGTTCAATCTCAGTTTAGTTTGACGTTTAAACTGAACTGAAACTAGTCCTATGATCAAACTGCAGTTTGAACCATCCAATCATAAACTGTTAACATCTCTACTATCAGATCGATGCTATTGCATCATATATGTTATGTATTGCAGTTATACAATTTGTAAATAGTTATTTATGTGGGTAGTGTTATCACCAATTTGGTTTGGAGTGATAACTAACGTTAGAGATATTAAATTGAACAGTCGTGACAAAAAGGCCAAGTAATAAAATGATAAGTGTTTTAATAATATTATAATGAAATATAAGAGTATCACTAATAATTCTCAGTAGAAAATTAATAATGATGGTAAACAATGTAAGAGTTTCTTAAAGATAGAAATCTATCAAACAAATAATAACAAACATAAAGGTAAAACAAATAAAACACACAAAAAGTTTACTACAAAGAAAAACTAACAAACAAATCATACAAAAACACAATACTTCAGATAACACAATCTAAACTCACTGTTAGATTACTCAGGTGTTAACAACCTTGAAAATATTGCTCTATATATGTTTACATTTTCACACATGACAGTTTGAACTTATCAATATTATCCTATTATACTAATATGATTAATCAATCAATTGTCTTTTTTCCATTGCAATTATCTGCAAAAACCTTTCCATTACCATTTCGTATAAGTTTTATGTATCTATATGATTTATCAACTATGTAAAGTTCAAGAAACTTCTCTAGCTAAACTAATAAAGCAATTTTCTACGGCCAAAATAATTAAACTGATACTTATAATTGAATACTTATGAGTCAAAAGTAATAACAATACTAAAAGTGGTTAATTAATGTAAATAACTAATAAAACTAAAACTGAATATATTATAAGAAATGTTTCATATTGTAATAACTCAGCCATAATCATAGGATTTCTGCATACTACATTATGTGACTTGTTCAATCTTCAACTATTTTCATGGGCAACCTTAATAATAATCTTTGATTGATTCTATCTTAAGCAAAAATTTTGGTAACAGTACTAGTCTAAATATAACGCCATGTGATTGCAGTATTTTTAAATATATAGAAGATATAAGATAGATGATAATTGATGAATATATTTCTGTTGTAGCTGTGCATTTGCAAATTTCAGAATATTTATTAGTATATATATAGCTTAGCTAAGACGAATGAAATACTGGCAGGTATTAGTATAGAGATTCTATTTCATTTTATAAAATAATATGTATTTTTTTTACATCAACTGAATAAATCAGTAATTCTAATCATAACATTTTGTCACAGTTTTTTTATTAATGCTAATGAACTTTTAAATTATTCCATTTCATATAAAAAATTATTATCAAACATGCAATCTATGATTGATTCATTAAGAGAATTAAATTCCAAAAGGACCCTGTCTACTATTAAGATAGATTACCCTGTGGCCTAAGGTAAGGTTTACATATAAAACTCTTTGAAGATACTACTATAAAAGGAAATTTTATGTTACATTGTTATGATTTTTTTTCTTTTTAGTCAATTAACCAATAGAATTTAAGCAAATTCTAAGGTAAGGTTTTATATGAAAGTGAAATTTCTACCGGTAACATATTTTAGTAGTAAGCGGGGTCCTATTTCAAGCTCTTAGCTGAGATTGCAAAACTTAGGAAAAAGAATACTAAGATTTTTGAATTTAGAGAGAAGTTACTAAACATCAGGAAGTTTTAAACAAGTGTATAAAGTGTTGAAAAATGCCATGTGTTGCTCAATACCAAAAAGTGTAGAGATACGAACTCTTTATTATCAATCAACGCCACTTAAAAACATTAAAAAATGTGTAGTACAACAGTGTTTTATGTGTAAAACAATATACAGTAAAACAATACTAGTTTAATAACATATATATAATGTATAAAAACGCATATATTGATATTAAAAACGCGTATACTGTATAGCACAAGTCAAAAAGTGAAAAATCAGGCATCAATCAGTCACCAATCGGTTACCAATCAGGTAGCTGATTGGTGACTGATTGGTGACTGATTGGTGACTGATTGGCATTTTCACTAAATACTGTTACCAATCAGGCAGTTTGCTAACTTTTAATCAAGTGATCAGAAAAGGATGAAATATAGCTTATTGGAATTGTCTTAATAAGATGAATCTAATGGTAGTAAAATTGCATTTTAAGGATTAATAGTTAATAAAAAATTAAATAAAATATAAATGATACATTTTTATTTTTATATTTTACTTAATTTCTCATCAAATATTAATCCTAGAAATGCGATTTTATTACCATTAGATTCATCTTGTTGAGACAATTCCAATGAGCTATATTTCATCCATTTCTGATCACTGGATCAAAAGTTAGTAAACTGCCTGATTG